ATGTTTGAAAATAACTATACATTGTTGTCCTATTTCAAAAATTGTTTTTTGGATACAGAATTTTAATTCAAAACTACCTTTCCTAGATTTTTATATTAACAATAATTATATTATTATTATTTAGATGTTAAATAATCATATTTTCCTTTTTCCCAACTTGAATTTACCTTATTTGCCTAATTAACTACCTAAAATCTGGTAGCGCACTTATGCAAAATTTAGTCGGGACAAATAGTTTTCTATTTGTTCTAGTGTAATACAAACCTGGGGGCTGTTAGTCAGTTGCCAGATCTTAGACAAATGCACTTTCTGTTCTTCACTTATAATGTAAGCAAAAAAATTTGACTAAACAAAACTAGTAATCAAGAATCATGATGGTGGTAACACCCTTAGACAATGTTCTAATGCTTTCTTCAAACTCCAGTCCTTATCTTCGCAACTGTCCACTTCCCAAGCAACTATTTGTCTTAAGAGTTGAATTAGTAAGTAGGGTTCAAGAACTTAAGCATCCAACCTTCAAATAAGTGTTAATCAGAGATGTGCAAAAAAATGCCAAATACTTTTGAATTAACAATGTTAATAATGTTAACTAGATCATATTTTTAAACAATAGTTAAGTGGACTTATTTTCTCCTTAAATAAGACTCAGGACATGAACTGAACTTTTTACATTGGACAAAAATATAAAATATCCATTAACCTAATATACATCTTTATGTTATAACTCTATGAAACAACGTGAAAATACGTAAAAACTAAGATTTGAAACAAAGTAGGTGCAAAACGTTTACTACTGTAAAATTAGAAACACCAAATGCATTATAAATTAGAGTACTTATTATTGGTTAGAATATGTTGATAATTAAGCTAAAGTAATACACTTAATTCCCGGACATACGAGATTCCTCTGCTTTGTTACAGAGACACAGGCTGAATCACAATCCCCAGCTGTCTTGGAAGTGTGTATTATTGATCAAGAGGGGTACACAGCCAACATGTGGAAAGTTTAGTCCAATTCCATTACAATGACAGAAAAAAACAATTCCGAGCACATTCCCGGCAGAGAGGGGGTCAGTAGCTCAATTTATATTTCAGTTTGGCATTGAGCGTGTGTCTCTCATAGACAGATGCTTAATGATAGTTCTTTGTAATGCTAATAATGATGAAGAGAAGATACATTTTACAACTATATAGCAGCTTTCCAAAATAGGTAATTTTAAGATTGTGAGATCCATGAACAACACAGCCAATTCATCAAGTATTAGTTCCCCAATCTTTGGGGGCTTAAGTTCTGACATATGTATTAAAAGTTCTCATTTGGACAAGCATTGATAGTCCTCCTCAATGATATAATGTAACAGCAATTAATTATGACTAACTTCACCATGAATGTAAAATATATGTATGAATTGTACACATATATGCAAATATATGCATTTACATATATACACATATATATCTGAAATATCCTTCTTTGATAAGTCAGGAAGGAAAATAACGGGAGTTTCTGGCATGGTATATGGCTCAATGTTCAGAGAGCAAGCCAAAAATGACAAGATCTTTATTCATAAGAGAAATACTCCTAAACAGTCTAAAAACTAGTTTTTATTTTTATCTTTAAAAAGCAGTCACTCCCTTGCCTGCTGCCTAGAATTTCTCCTACTTATCATGTCCCTGGTTTTTACCTGTCATCTTATTCTAAGGTTAAATAAAGAAACCATGATAATTGAAGTCAGATTGGAGCCATGGGCACGTTGCGATGCTGTGTTCAGAAAATTAAAAATAATAAATGTACCCAGAGAGAGGGAGATGCCACCACTATCTTTAACTTAGTGAGGCTAACTAGAAGAAACAAATATTAGAAATATGCAGGGAGCACAGAAAACCTGAATACATTACAGTAGAGGAAGATGTTTTCTCTTATTACCCATTACATATACTTTAGGCATCTTGGTTCAGTTCACAGTTTTATTGGTAAGTTACCATCCTTTGATATTTTAGAGTAACTTAGTTCTTGTGGATTCACAGGATAACTTAATCATCTTATATAAGAGGAAATTTTAAGTGAAAAAAATTTTTTGGAGTGTTCATACCATAAGCCATGCCCTCTGCTAGACATTTTATAAACATATCTAATTTAACCTCATTTTTAAAAAATCAGCAAAAATCTTATAGGGTGATTAATGTTATCCTCATTTAATGATGTGGAAAATAAGGCTAGGTAAATTAAGTACATTGGCCAAGGGCTCTAATCTAGTATAGCCTTGAGTTTACAACAAGACATGTTTAAAAACATATAAACTTTCATGACTTCGTGCCAGAGATTGTTCATTCTTCCACAGTATCCCGTTTTTCTCTTTTTCATGCTAGTACAATATCCAGCTGGGTATACTGTTGCCCAGCTAGACTACATTTTTGCAGACACCCTTTCAACTATGTGTGGATGGATAACGAAATTCTAGTCTAAATTATGCACACAATTTCTGGGTTGTATCTTATCTTCTCCTTCCTACAGGCTGGAGTTAGGATGTAATTGCAAGACTAGAGCAGCCATCTTGAACCATGAGATAGAAACTATGTTTTAAGAATGGCAGAAAGCAAGATATAAGGAAATTTAGTCTCCAACAGTATTAAACTGATGTGACAGCCTTGCACAGACTTCCGAGACATTTCTACTCATTTAAGTTGTTGTATCTTTGTGTATATCTGTATTTCACAGTGTGTGGCATAAGTCTTTATTAAAACAGCTGTATGATATATTATCACCAAAATAACATTGTTTATATTTTTCTTATAGATAACTACACTTTTGATGGTGAATGCAAATAAGACTTATTCTACCATACTGTGATGATCATGATTTAAGAAGACTTTTGCTTGTAAGGCTAGAGAAGATTATGCAAAGAAATCAAACTTCAGTTTCACCATTCTAGATACTGTAATTTAAAAATATATTAATGTAACTGTATTAATGTACATATGATTAAAAACAACATTTTATGTAACAAAACATAACTCTATATAATAATTGCATGTTAAGGGACAGACTAATATCCACATATTGGTGACAGCTGTGACATTAGATAATATCTGTCAAAACTGCCACTCAAAACTTAGACACATACACACCCAACAACAACAAAAGCAACTACAATTGCAAATAAAACAAACAGTGAAACGCAAATATTTAAATGATGCATAAATTGCATAACGGAAATGTCATACAGATCATGAAAACGCTTCATCTGGCACTGTTGTATCCCTTGGCATAAGAAGGTGGCAAAATTTGTCTAGGTGCTTTCTTTGAAAATAAAAACTACTCAGGAAATAGATGTATAGCAGAAACTAAGATCCAAAAGAGAACCAAATATAGATGATTCATTTTGCTGAGGATGCTTCCAGAACAACAGTACTGAACTAGGTGTTATCATTGAAAAATAACTTGTCCTTATTTTAGCATTAATATTTCAATTTCCTCTTTACTAAATTTACTTTGACTCCACATAATATTTAGAAAGCATTCATTTTACCTTTAGTAATTTTTCAGCAATTGAAATATTGGCATGGGCATATGTATATAAAAATTTTTAATTTTAAGCACTTTTCCTCAAGTAAAATGAGAAATCTCCTAAATTATTCAAATAATGTCATTATTCTAAAATTAAGAATTTAGCAACTTAAGGAGGGAAGTCATTGCTGTCAGTACCTCATATTTACACAGTTAAATATTTGCCAGATGAACAATAAACACAATTTGTGAAAAGCAAAGACAAAATTGAAATGATAAGATGGCATTGTGTCAATTTTAGAGGGATATTTTATATGTAAAGACATTAAATGTCCTAAAATATGTTTTGTGAAATACGAAAGTATGCAATAAAACATATTTTAAATCCATTTAATAGAAATATTAACCGCATATTACTGATTCAAAGTAGTCCATACTTATATATCTAGATCTATATTTACGTACATGTGTCTATAAGTATATTCATACCTAGTTCAGTTGTACTAGTGTATGAGTGCATTCTTCCTACTTTAGAACTTCCTAATTAGCTTTTTTCTCTTTCTCAATAGGTCAAATTCAGGTCAAAGCACAATTGCACATAATATCTAAGTCTCCTGAAAAATAGATATATTATTCTAACTCATTTTTTGATTTTCACCTTTTTTTCCCTAGCTAAGAATCTACATGAATCTGTTTGTGCAGTGCACCATTTCACATAGGAATACCCAACAATTGTCAAAGTGGGTTCGCAGGTTCGGATCCCAGGCACAGACCTACACACGGCTCATCAAGCCATGTTGTGGCGGCATCCCACATACAAAACAGAGGAAGATTGGCACAGATATTAGCTCAGGAACAACCTTCCTCAAGCAAAAAGAGGAAAATTGGTAATGGTTGTTAGCTCAGGGCCAATCTTTCTCACCAGAAAAAAAAAAAAAGAAACAAAAGAAGTGGGACTATCCGAAAGAATAAATAACTGTTTTCCGTAATAAAGCAAAGCACTAGACCTTGCCTTGCACTGTCAGGAGATCTGCTCTTGCTTTCTGCCTGACTGCACACTAAAACATCAAGGGGAGAAGCCACAGGCAGCGACAGTGACGCGCAATGACAGTTTTCTCAACAGTGTTTCTGCTTTGAAGATTGTAGAAAGATTAAGGGCAGCTCCATGTCAGGGGTTTGAAGGAAAAATTCTTGTCTGACAACTATGACATGCAGTACAAATTCTCATGATTTGGTTGTTTACAGCAGTTGAGAAAACATCCGAGTTGCAGTAAGTAACAATACCAAAGGTTGGATGTGCTTTCTTGTTTTTATGTAAAACCGAAGTAAGAATTTCACTTTTCCCTCTGTAGGAGGTCCGCTACATTTTATAGTGAATATTTTCCTATGATTTATTTTAGCCAACTCTAAATTAAAATTGTTTATAACATTGCTTTCTAGGAAACTATAATTAAATCAAACATAATTAAAATGCCGAGATGTACAATCTTACCAGGTGAAGATAAGGCATAGTAATGTAGATATTAAAATCAAAACTTGATTAAACATTGCAGACTGTGTACGCTGAATGGCTCTGTGTAGATCATTCTAAAACAATACAGAAAAAGCATATTTTAAATTTTGATAAATGTTCACGAGTTTCATTACATTTATTACTATGTTACATTTCAACTATCTTGTGCATATTCAATACATATACTTTAAATGGATATAGCAGCACATTTTCATTTTTGCCTAGGTCTAAATATACCTTATGATAGCATTCATATTACAAAGACAATACTATGGGAGACCACCAAAGAACCACATTTCAGTTTACTTGCCTTACAAACATCTTTAGACATGTTACACAGACACCCCAAAAGCCCTCCATGGTAAGCATGGTCTTTTATGGGAAATTCTAATTTTAAAAATCAGAAAATAATGTATTTGTTAAGGGGAAAGTAATAGCTGGGTCAAACTACAATCACCTCTCCATCTCTGAATCCAGAAAAATAACATGAATTATGCCAGACAATTTATCATAAAAAGAATGACCAAATTTTTCAAAAGTTTAATTTCATTAATACTGAGACATATGAATCCAAGATACACTTTTTATCTTTCCAACTGAAGGATATTAAAAAATAATAATATCCATCATTGTTTAAGATGCAAAACATGAGCACTCACATACGATACCGCTCATGTAATTTGTTATAAATTTCTTGAAGTTAATTTGGTAATATAGGTCAAAATTCACAAGTACGTCCTTTGTATTTCATGCATTCATTCATTCATTTAATGAGTATTTACTCAATAATACAATTTCTAAAAATTAACCACATGAGAATCATCAGAGATGGAAATCAATATTTATGCATGTTCATCTTTATTACAAAATTATAATATTATGTGAAATAATGACTATTCGATACTACTAAAATATGCAATAAAAAATGGTTGAATAAAGTGATCAAAACTATATAGTGGATTTAGGTGCATCATTAAAAATGATTTGAAGAGGAATATTTAATGACATAGGAACTTGTCCATTACATACGTGTATGACAAAATTCAAATTATAAAGTTGAACATACAATATAATTTCATGTATCATATATGTGCACAATTTTTCACAAAAAATATTAGAAGGATATAAATTATCACTAGTATTCAGTCTGTGTGGTAGATTTGTAGGTATTCATAATTTTTTACTTTATAGTTTTCTGTTCATCTCAGCTTTTTATAATAAAGCTTTAACAGTCTTAAAATCAGTATTGCGTGAGATAAATGACTTCACCAACATAAAATCTTAATAAGCCAGTATCTTACCTTCCTCTACTATGCATTTAACCAGAACTGTTATGACAACAAAAAACTAAGTTGATTAGAAATTCACTTCTCATCCCTTACTTTCTTCTGACAGTGGTGTTAACGAGCAGAAAAATAAATTAAAATTTAGCAAACAGTGAGAGGAGGAGAAGCAAAATAAAGAAATACAATGGAAAATGAATCCTAAATTAATATCGCAAAGCACTGTTCTTACTCTCAGTGACTGACTAATGATTCCTCTCTTGGTTACGTTATTTTTTCCAACAACTAATAATGCAAATTAGCCAAGAAGTTTATTTTTTCCTGGTGTGTGTTTTTCATTAGCAATTTGGGCAATCTATATTTAGTGAAATGGTTTTATTTTGGGACAGTTAAGACAGCCCGATGTTTCTGCAAACCACTCCACTGGCCATACTCTCCCATCCTCTGGCCATGTGCTTTCATGAGACTCCAGTGGTTACTTAGTATAAATATTTGGAAACATTCATACGGGTGTGAATACTCAAATGTTATTCGCATATTCCTTTTGACCAAAACTTTTGTCAGAATTTCATAATTTTTTAAAAGAAAAACAAGCTTGCCTCCAAACAAATTTAATTTACAATGTAGTAAAATTAGTAACATTGAGCCCTTACTATGTTTATAACTGATACAATATCATATATATTATATTATAAATAACATGTATATCTATGCATGCACACATAGATATATACGCATGTATATACAATTTCTTTTAATTCTCACAGCAAGTCTGTAATGCAGCCACTTTGATTCTCTTTTGAAGATGAGGAAATTAGCAAAGAAGTTACATCATTTGCCTCTCATATCAGAGTACTTAGCATATAGTGGACTCATATTAACATTTGTAGAATAAATGACTTAAGAGCCAATGTCTTACAGCTCACTTATAAGCATTGAAGCCTACCGTAAATGTATTTTGTTCATGATTATAAACCAGTCCTTCCAAACAAAGTCAGCCTTGAGCAAAATGCAACTGTGGCCCATCTCTGAGTTCTACAACTCTTACTTCCTGCTTCCTTTTCTCCTTCCTAATATCCTGCTCACAACCCAACCTGGCCAAATCTAAACAGATGACTTGAAGTGAGGAGCTTCTAGATCCAGTACAGAGCCTTACAAAACCCCACAGATTTTTGTGGAATGTGAAACTACTTACAGTTAGGAACCGCTTGACAACATTGCCACCTGAACCCTTAAAACCCGGGGTCCCATTATGCATCAACAGATTACCTTGGGAGGAAGGCTGTTTGTCTTCAGAAGATTGGCTAAGAAGTTGGACCAGTCCAAACAGCAGTTAGCTTTGGTTTGGTGATGATTTAGAAAATTGGAACCATTTTTGTATACCAGTTCACAGAGTCTTACAAAGGTAGTGTCTTGGCAATATGGGCATTTTATAACTTTCATTCTGATTAGGATACAAGCAGACTTAGGTCTATTAGCTTAGAGATTTATGCAACATATCATTTTAATTATTTGACAGGATTTTACCAAAACTTCTTTATTTTTACGAACATTTAAATAAAACTAATTACTAAGATACTAAATTAATTTAAAAGCAGTTTAAAAGTGAAACATTTAGAAATTTAATTATAACTGAAATTCCAATAGTATGTGCTTATATTTTATGGAAGAAAGCAGAATGAGGAAGTACAAGACTAAAACCTCAAATCGTCTTCTCTCCGTGTTTAATCTGAGCAAGTCAAAGTGAATAAGAAATAATGGAGGTTAAAAAGTATTTTTGTATTTGCACTTGACTTTTATACTTACAATCATATTTTCCAAGGCATGTTTGGCAAGCCAACAGTTTAGAAAGACTGGAACAAACAGATTCCTTAAGGAAGGCCAGAAAATCTGAAAAACAAGTCAAAACTAAACTTTTATCTCAAAGCAAGAAATCATACCCAGTCGATTGAAAAGAAATGTAAAACAAAAAAGTCATTAAAGACAATAGAATGATTTCAAACATGTGACAAATACTTTAAACTCATTAATGAAATGCAAGGAGCAGATATGATCTTTTCATTCATTATCTAAGTCTTATTTAGGGGAAAATTCTTGGGAAATTATTGTAGAAGTGGAAAGGAAATAATAAGCTCTCACTGGGTGTCAGCTATAAATATGCTAATTCTATCATTAAATCTTTTAGTGCGACAGTTTATAACAGACATCGCCTCTCTCTTCTCTGCAACTTGAGGTGAACAGCAGGAAAAAGGAGAGAAGACTTTGCCAATTTATAACATTACCACTTATTCTCTTCGGATTCAAACAGTTTAAGTGACATTGGGGAACCATATTCAATTGGAATTTTATTCAGTTGGCTTGGTTATCTAGCTCAGTTGATCCTCTAGATAAATCACGCAAATTAAAATAATTGTCAAAAGTGAGCAACAGCTTCAGATAGTATCTACTGATTTTCACAATTTTCCAAACCGAACTCAAATAAAGTGTTAGAAAGCGTATTCCCAACAGACATTATTATAACTCTATCAAATAGAGATTAAAACCTCATTTTGCAATGGGAAAGTGCTTGTTATGTATTTATGGGACTGTAGTTGCAAGGGATCATCGTGGAACTGGTACTCCACAGTACTGTGACAAAGAAGCAACTTGCTGGTTGTTGGCTTTTGGTAAATTTCTTATGAAAGACAGAATGGACTTAGTAAATCCTGTGATTAAATTAGGCATAAATATATTCTCAGCATGAGAAACTTTTATAAATCCTTGGTTCTACTTGGTTTCTATTTTTTTTCAATTCCAGAATATACACAAGAAATGGAGTGATTAATTTCTAGTCTGTTTAGACAATATTGACATTTGTTTAAATGGCACCTCTGGAGCATATATTTCTAAAAAGTATTTCATTTTGCTACTGTACTAAATCTGATTAGTTTTTGCTCAATTTTATAATCCAGTTATCCAAATGATTTGACTTTATTTTTTAAAAACACTGTGATTCTAACCAAAGCCTAAATTCACTTATCTGACCTAATATATTATTTATTAGCATTTAGATTTAAAGACTTTACTTAACTCTAATAATAAAATCATTTATTTTAAAGATTCTTTTCGGACTTACTGAGATAATGAAGGGAACGGCATTAATTATTTCCAAGATGAAGGGTATTCGTAAAATCTGTTCCCAGATGTTTCCCTTCCAAGAAAGAACGAATAAAAATGAAAGTCAATTATACTGAATCCCATTAAAGGGAAAAAAGACAGCACTTAGAATTTCTCTAGCAAGAAGGATGCTGACATTAACAGAATACTGAATCATTATATAAAGATGTAGCAATGAATTTTAGAGGTGATTTTTCTAAAGGTAATTGTGCTCTCTCAATTTTATAGTAAGAAGCAAAACAAATGTTTATAGTAATCCTTGAATCTGAAATGTTTATAGCAAGCCTTGAGTAACACATTTTGATCATACAATATTTCATGGAAGAAAAATTACTGGTAAAAATAAAACATTAAAAAACCTACAGAATCAGTGAAAAAGTAACTCAATCTTAATTTTTTTACTATAAGAATTATGTTCACAAACTGTAAAGTATATTAAACAGTGTAAATACACATGCTTGTTAACAATGTTCATTGGTATTAACACTTTTTACATTAATAAAACTTAAAAGAAGGGCTTTTTCAATCATCTAAATTCTAATCTCCCAACCCATATAGTATAATAATATTAATCAGGACTGGCTACATAATTTGCAGGGCCCAGCGCAAAATGAAAATGCAGGGCCCTCTTATTAACAAATTACTAACCATTTCAAGATGGTGACATCAGAACATTAAAACAAGGGCAGGCCCTTCTAGTTGTGCAGCCCTGCCCATCTGCATAGATCACACGCCCGTGAAGCTGACCCTGATATTAACAGGCCATCACTGAAACTTTCTTGAATGGTGTTAAACGAAGAAGAACTCAGAACTTCCTACAGCAGCTTATCCTGCCATGGAGAGATCTATGTATTAGAAAGACAATTTGCAAGCTGGCTCCCTGTAAGTTCCAATAATTTTACAACACTGGCTATAAAATTTGACGTCTTTCTTAATTTTCCTTGAGGTCCCGGAGGCTTAAAACATTACAGTGATGCAAAATACCGTCGCATCGCAAAGCAAACCTCTATATGGGGTGTTGGCTATATGCTAAAATATTAAGCAATAGGTTTTATCATTAGTTCATCATCCACCTCCAGGCTATATGAAAGTGGTAGGAGGGAGGCAGGTGGAAGAAATAGAAGCAATGAGAACTCCTCTGTATAGAGATGTTAGAGGTGCTATGGTGTTTCTCTCATCACTTCAAGGTAAGTGAGAAGGGCTCAAAGGACCCCTGAGAGAGCTTGGCTCAGACGTAGAGACTGTATTTGGCTAATGCCTAAAACATCTAAAAATGAGGAGAGAACACAGCAGAGAGAATGAGGGCTGAAATGAGAGTAAGCCACAGTTATGCCAATTTTAAGACAAAGGTACTTGTTTTCTGGGAACCAGATAAAGACCTTAAAGAAGGAAACCTACCATCATTTTAAAAGAGCTTACACTCAGGGGGGCTGTATCCTGAAGGGGAAATGGGACGTCAACAGACAGTGGACCTCAGAAGCCCAGGGTCTGGAGCAGAGCCCTAGTGGCCAGCCTGAGGCACTGAGGCAACCAGGAAGCTTTAGCCAAAGGCAGCCCTGCTGGTATCTGCCATGCAGAGCAGCCCAACGCCAGACTACACTGGTGCCAGTTAGGCAGATTCATCCAGACACTGACTTCCCTTAACTCCCTGTGCCTCCTCAGCCCTGCGGGGGCCAAAATCAGCTGCCATCAAATAAGAGAGGAGGTAGAAATAGGAGAGGGCCCCCACAAGCATTCCCTGCCCACTGTAGTTAGGAGCTGAGGACCAGCTAAAGCCTTAAACTGGACGAGAATTTTAAATTAATATATGTATATTGATCATAATTTCTTAAATACTAAACTGAGATTTGCTTTGCAATTGAAGAGACTAGAAAAGCTCTGGGACCTGCCTGAGGTTTCTTCTGATGAGCACAGATAGCAAGGAGGATGCACGGATTTGAAGAAGTGCAGGAAGGCTTTCCTACTTGCACCGAGTCAGGTCTCTTCAATAAACTAGGTATAATTGATTTCAATCGTGCTAAAGTTTTTTTTTTTTCAATTGTGCAGGTTAATATTACCATTTTTTCAACAGTTTTTTGCATGGTTCAGTTTCCAGAATGCTTAACATCTAGCTTACTCTTTCCTGGTTGTCTTTTTACTTTTCATTGTACATTTCTCCTCGATGTCAATGATTGTTCACAGGAAAAGAGACTGATGTGACCAGTAGGGAGAGGAGGGTATGGGAACAGTTACCACTGGTGATATGGCCAGAAAGATCTTTCTACTAATATACAGCGAGATTAGCATTAGGAGTTTTCTTAGCTGTGACACACTGGACAAATTCAGTTCATAGTAAACAAAAACCTTCCGTGTCTCTGATGGCTCTCTTCATTTCCAATTAGAACACGTCAATTTGATATTTATGATTTTTTTCTCAAATCATTAAAAAAGTCTCATAACTGGCATCTGACTTGGTTGGATTTATTTCTGAATTATCTTCCATATTGAAGCCAGAAGATTCTTTCTAAAATGCTAAATTTCCATTGCCAATATAATAACATACAAACTCTTCATTATATTCTACGAAGCTTCATAGTTTGGACTCTGGCTACTGGTCTGGTTTGTACCTGCTCATTCCTCTCCCCCTCTTGAATTCAGCCTCAGCTTCATCCACACTGAATTGTATACAGTTCTCTGAACAAGCTAGGCTATTTCACACTTTCATAGCATTGCTCATACTTCTGCCTCTGCTTGGAACATCCCACACCCCATGCCTTCACCACTAATCTCCTTGACAAGTGTTTGTGACACTTTATAGAACTTACTTGTTTATATGCCTTTAGGGCTCAATAAGTATGTTAAGGAATAAATGAAACTCCCAAATATTTTATACATACTCTGCCCCTTCTTGGTATAACTGTTTTACTTGTTGAACTAAAGTATCTATATCCCTTTCATTGGATCCAAGTGGAAACACTCGAAATAATTTTCTTGTTTAAAGTCTTCTTCAATGTAGTTATGTACAAGTTGTCAAACTTGTAACCACAGAGTTCAATGGAAATTTTCTGGAGGAGAGCACTTCAAGAGTACTTGGCTACATATCCATCATAGGTAATTTCATCTGTGCTTCAACTTCAACTTATTATCAATAATAAGCCAATGACTTCCCGTGTTGGATCTCTAGCCCAGGTCAATATTGCATCTCTGTTCCAGATTCTGTTCCAGATCTCCACTGCTTCACACAGATGCCTCAAAGGTACCTGGTGTATAATATGTCTAAAAGGATGATTTACTTTTTGCCCTGACTGGTTCCCTCGTAACACGCACCAAAAATCCTGGAGAAACTCTAAACCTTCCTTTGATGCTACCTAACTGGTCACTAAGACCTCTGATTCACAAATAGATCTTGAGTGTGTCTGTTCTCATTCTAACTCCATTCTCACTCTTTGACCTGGATGAGACTCCTAATTGGTCTCCTTCCCTCCATGCTTGCCCCATTCCATTCACCTGAAACAATATCATCAGGATTATTTGTCTAAAGGCACACCCAATATGCCAATCCCCTGCACACTTAACCCACCCCATACCCACTCACTTTGAGATTCTTGAACTATGCAGATATTTTCACAACAAACACAAAAATTCTATTACCACCTACAAGGCACTATATCATTTGGCTTTTGATGATCTCTCCACCCTTATTTTAAAGGTCATTCTTTCCAAAGAACTTTCAGTCCTTAGAATATTCGAGGGTCTTTAAGAGGCTTGAAAAATCTTCACCTTACTTTCCAACTTCAATTTCCCTAGTTAACTCACACACATCTTTCATCTCTCAGCTCAAAAGCTTTTGAGTTTTTTGACACTTTCCTCACGCGCTTATCACACACACTCTCGACAAGCTCAGACTCCCACGTTAGGTTTTTTGATTCTCCATCAATGTCCTTCACATCACTTTTTTCAGTTTGTATTGATATATTTAATACAATATTTGATTTTAAATTCTATGAAGTCCAGATGAGCGTCAGTTTAGTTCAGGATTCTATGCTCTCTTGCTAGCACAGTGCTTGACAATCTGAAACTCCTAAATGAAAACTGTAACCACATTATGTCAAACATGCTACTGTTGATTCATAGCAAGAGTGTGTGTGTGTGCATGCATGTGTGTGTGTTGTGGCAAATGAATGAACTTTCCACTGGGGACTAATTTTCGTGATCTAAAATTACACAAAGGGGCAATGTGCTCATTGCTAAAAATAAATGAATCTCTTTTGAGTTATATTCATTATGGTTAATTCTAAGACCTCAGGTTGCCTTCTGAATTTAAAGGTATATTCATAAATTATCTTCCTTAAGATTAGCTAACAAAAAATAAATACAGAAAGTATCTATAAGTTTCACTGGCTGTTAGGGAGTCTAACATATAAAGCACATGATATAAATCCACATGATAAAAGCAATTATAACGAAAAAAGAGCATACACATCATAGAATGTCCCTATGGTGAGCAGCATACAATAAAATCCAAAAGGCAGGCATAGCACCTTTCAAAATTATGTTAAATATTTGTTTCATTTAATATTATTTTCATGAAGGAGATAAAAGACATAAGTCTTTTTCCACAAGGTAACTTCTTGAAGGAAAAATAATTCTAAGAGGTTGCTTTATCTGTTCTAAATGTGTTTTCACTCTCTATGATCTTCTTCTTATTGACAGAATTCAGTAAAATATAAATAAACCTTAATCCAACTATCTACAACATTTGGTATGAACGTAACTTTCCTTAACCAATAAAAATGCAGGAAAACAGGTGATTTTCTAAAGTGTATCAGGCTTTTATGTTATCATAAAGGAAAGCGGCAGTTTGGAACTATAATCCAGGCAACTCTAAAAAGCACTTTAAAAATCATAAGACTTATGGTAATTTAGTTACTCTTAGCCCAGGTTGGACCAAGAGACTTTTGAAAGACAGTTTCTTCTTCAATATTAAGAATATATTTAAAATACTTAACGAAAAAGTCTGATAACTTATCTTCTTTCAATGAATTTAAAATAGTGCAGCAACCCTGCGGCAGTCGTATTTTGTACATCCAAATGTAAACTCCACAATGTTTAGAGTGACCATTTCCATGGGTTAGTAAGCAGAATCACCACTATCTAGGAGTATCGAGGAGTCCTAGCTCCAGATTCTTCATTCTTTTCCAGAAATAAGCCCATCATGGTACTAAAATTTCAAAATCGTTGCTTCTTATAAAGTGATTACAGGAAAAAAATCGTAAATTTAGCAAAAACTTTCTAGGTATGTTGAATTTTTGTCTGCAGAGGTTTGGGAACTATGCTGGGGCTTGTTTTATCTCCTTTTGATTTAATGAATGTGTGTGTATAGATAGAGTTCTATTTTGAAAGCAGTTGATAAAGACATAGAGGGTATTTACGGTGACAGAAGAATAAGAACTTTGCTGTTGGGTGAATCACGTGGTTGTTTTGCCAAGCAGCTATCGACATGAATAGAATGATGGTTTAAGTACAGACCTGCACTTCTGTATGATAGAAGATAAAGTAAGTTGATATCAGGGATTTTTAATCATTATGTGCTAACCTCAACATATACTTTAAAGAGTTTTTGCTTTTATTGCTTTTACTCATCAGTCTTTGTTTTTCAAAACCTGTAGTCTCCATGATAATTTAAACTGTTTTAATTGTTAAGGATTAAGTCATGCTAATTTTAGATTATCTAATTTCAAGAATTATAAAGTGCTTACAGAATATTATTATTATTGTTATTTTTTGAGGAAGATTAGCCCTGAACTAACAACTGATACCAATCCTCCTCTTTTTGCTGAGGAAGACTGGCCCTGAGCTGACACCCATGCCCATGTTCCTCTACTTTATATGTGGGATGCCTACCACAGCATGGCTTGCCAAGCGGTGCCATGTCCACACTTGGGATTCGAACTGGGAACCCTGGGCTGCCAAAGCGGAACATGTGCACTTAACCACTGCGCAATCAGGACAGCCCCCAGAATATTATATTAAATTCATTTTTAAATATTGAATATATACAGATATTGTATATGTATACATTATCTGTATATATAAATACACACATATGTAAACAAATAGGAAAGTGTATGCTGATCTGCTGTTAATATTGATATTTCAGAACTAAAAGTATCAAAGAACAGTATTAGGGATGGATACAGTTGCTAATGCAATATCCGTTTCTGTGTACCTGACTATAATGTTTCCTAAAATTCTAACTTGAGAGGAGGAGCTCACTTGAAGTTCTGCTCTCCAAACTTGCCTGACTTATAGGCTATAAATAGTTACCAATTACATAATTTATTCATTCCAAAACATCTGTCGAACAGTCTATTGAAGGAGTCAAAAGAGTTCATGAGTTTGACTGAATTTATGAGAGGAAAAAGGTGATAAACAACAACCCATCTTTCCAATATCACATAACTCTTTTTTATCCTTTCATTCCTTTGTAACACACAAGATTCAACCACCATCTACTTTTCCTTCATCAAATCCACTAATGTTCATGAAGGTCAGAATGGAAATAATATATATCATCCTGCTCTGCCTAGAAGGCCTTATAATGCTTTGCTCTCATTTTATAAATGGAAGGAAGTAATTAATTACAAATGTCAGCATCATAGGATTACAATGGAAAATTATCTTGAATCTGCTTGGTGTTTTTTAATGACTTTTTAAATCAGGGTTAAGAGTTCTATTAGCAAAGCACAAAGTTAATTTCATATTACTTTTTAGTTAGAATTTGGAGCAAATACATTCACAAATGCAGATTAATATTTTGGCGAGCTTATATATCTGCACACACTCTTGTACTAGTAAAAGAGATTTAATTAATTTACCAAAAACACCCACATGATTAATTTTTTAGCATGTCGCTTTTTGTATACCTCATTCAACATTCATCGCATACTTGAATACTAAGAAACTTAAAGGATAAAATCTTGGATATTAATTTACTTGATTTTTATTTTGTTCTTCTAGATAACCAAAATCCAGATTTCTCAATCAGTACATGTTTATAGAGCACCTATTTTGACAAGGAGATATACTGATAAACCAGTAAAAAATCCTTCCTCAACATCCTGGTCAATACTGCTCATCACTGAGCTAGTGCTTGCCAGGTTATTTAGGGATGAGGGACCACCTGTGTGTAAGCTCTTTCAGCTTGCCTTTGCTGCCTTCAAAATAGCCTCTCAAGTCCCACGTTCCACCTTCTGTGCTCTCACAAAAGAATGGAATGTTATCAAAGCTGATCAACAGACCTCAGGTTTCTATTCCCACTTATTTTCACTTTTTAGAAACTTTGCTTCATTCATCATCTTTTCTTGTCCTCTCTACAACCTTTAAATGATGCACATTTTTTCCATTGTTAGGCAATCTTCCCTGCCTCATTCTACTACTTCTGGCGAGCCCCTGCAAAAATCAACATTCTTCACTTAAAACTGACTTTCAATTGTATTCTTAAAGGCGAATAGCAAAAGATCTCCTAAACTGTAAACTCAGTGGCCTTTTCTCAAGCTTCTGACTAAACCTGCCATAGGTGACATGCCATCATGTAACACTCTTCTGCTTTAGACATTTCTAACATTCTATTTTTTTCTCATAAATATTTAATCAACCCATTTATATGTTCCGCAAAGCCCTCATTCTTTTCTTTCTGCACTTTCTAATTCATCAATCTCACCTTATTTGATACTGGAATTATTTTCTTTAGATGGAGTTAATAGAGAATTAAAAAATTTAAAAAATGAAGCCAGAGGGAAACAGTGAAAGAGTTTGTAAGGACTTCTTGCTCTAAATTTAGAATTAAAAAGTAGTCTAAGAAATATCTTCAAAAACCTATGTTTTAAAAAGTGAGACAGAAATTTATATGTTAGATAAGAGTTTCCCAAAACATAACCTTGAGTACACTTGTTGATATAGTACATGCAGAAACTGTGACCTGAGCATTAGTGAGGAATATGACAACCATTCCGATGACCTTCTACCCTTCTTGTCTATTTCTCTGTCTTCTCTGATGGCTCTATTCTTCTTCCAACAACCACAATAGAAGCATCTCCATCAACATGAGCTTTAGCTTCTCCCTTGGTTATTATCCCTTACTCGATGGACTTGCGCACATCCTTATCCATCTCTGACAATGCCTGACAAATCCTAATAAACCTCTCTCTTCTGCAAGTCCCAGATCCTTATTTTCAATTGCCTGTAAGTCATGCCCACCTGTTTGTCCATAAACTCCTCAAATTCATCATTTCCAAAACCATTTCCATTATTTCATCTATGACGACTCCCAGCTGAATATTTTTTCTTGATGTAATTTTTCTTAGTTTTACTGCCAGTTTCCCAGTCATTTGGATTTAGAAAATCTTAAAATGATATTTTGATTTTTCCTTTTCCTCACCTATGCCGACCAATCAGTTGATTTCTTTAGATTCTACCTTCTTAATTTATCTTGCCACAAATCCGTCTATTCCTTGCACCCAGCCAAAAACTCACTCCCAGTTTTCCTTTCATGCTATGATCGTGTCTGAACTGAGCACATGGCCTCAGTGTGATCTCTCTTTGTCCTGTGCTGCACAGATGTTATAAATACTCCTAAAACTTAATTACAATTATAGGACTCTCACGTTGACCATCCTCTGTTAACTTCCCACTCCTTGTTGTTAGACAAGGCCTTCACAACACTGTCCCAAACATTTTCCACCAATTTATCCCAAATACCCTATATTCTGCCCAAACGTCACTATTTATTATTCTTCTAATTCTATATTCACATGCATCCTTTTATGCCTTTGCTCATTCTGTCAATCCCTATTGTCCTGTCTTTTCATCTTTCCTTGGTGAAACCACTGATTCCAGGACTCTCTTTAAATCAGTCAAGCATTTTCTTTTCATCCTTAATATGACCTTTCTCTATGAACCCCCATAGGACTTTATTTGCACTTCGCTGGAAGCACCTATTATCCCATCTTGTATTATTATTATCTGTGTAATTCACTCCTACCTAAATCCCTTTCTAGATTATAAACTTATTGGGAAAAGAACAATGCACAGTGAGGAGCTTTTCCTCAAATAGGAGTTCAATAAATATTTGTTAAAGTGTGCTAGCCAAATAAAGCTTCACCAAAAATTAAGAGAATTCATTAAAATAATTCCTAACAGAGATGTTTTTCCTCCCTCAGTGTTTTGTGTACAGATCAGGGAAAGAGGTTGAGAACAATAAAAAGCCAGACAAGTACATTTGCTTGCTTCCTATAAGCATTCATAGAAGGAGTAAAATAACCCATAAGAATTAGTGAAATATTTTTAAGCCACCAAGGAAAACTTTACTACATTGCTACACTTTTATATCACATACTAGAGAGATCCAAAATAATTAAAGTAGTTTAAGAAGAACTTGTTATATCCCCAGAGTATGAACTATAAATAGAGGAATACTGGGTAAATGCTAGCATTGTGTTCTACCAGCAGAAAACTTCTAATTAAAATAACTTACCTTATAACTGAGATAACCAAGTAGTATTGTTTCAAATAGACTTATCAATGCCACTGAAACCTAAAATATAAATTGCACCTTAATGAGAAAATGCAATGAAACCAAAATATCTATTCATGATTATAATACTATTAACTTTATAAATATGTGCATAATATGTGTATATATGTCTCTATATATTTGTATGGTATATATATATATATGACATATGATATAGGAGGCATTGTGTGGCACTTTAACTTCTATATACAGATGGCAGGCTGCAGGCTATCTCTAGCATTACAGCTTAGATTTATAATTTCCAATACTCCTTAATATATCTTTTTAAATTTAATATCTCAAATGTAAATGTGGGTTTGGAATAGTCAGACTGGCTGGAGTTTGCTCGATATGTAAAGAATAGGTCCTTGCGTGTGTGGGCTCCTAACACACACAATCACACACAAATGCGCCGCCCCATGTAATGCCCTCTTCCAGCACCACCACGACCATCTCCAGTACATCCGCAAAAACAGCAGTTCCTTTCAGAAAATAAAAGAACACAAGCTTCCAGTTGAATGATACGTTCTATCCTATGCCCCACCTCAAACAAAACCCAACAGCAAAATCCTAGAACACTAAACCAAACAGTCTGCGCGAGCACTTCAAGATACTTTCAGACTATATGAGAATGACCTGCACAACCCACTCCCCTTTTGCAGCTGAAAGTGCTAGTCCTGCGTCCTCCTAGACAAGCTCCACCTTTCTCTATATTCTCTACCATATATTCAACTTCCACTGCTGAGCTACCAAAAACCCGTGACTGCAACAGAAAAAGTAACCAGGAAAGATGTCCAAATTATTATGTGTTAAATACTCTATGCACTTTAGGACAGAGGAAGAGAGAATAAGGTACCACAAACAAGAAATGACTCAGATAATCAATGTATTTGTTTATAGATGTTTGAGGTTTAAGACAATCTGCATTAGAAAGCAGATACTCTGGAGTCTCAAATTTTGACTCCTGTAGACTGAAAACTTTGATTTAAGTGAATATCCAAACATAAGGACAATCAAAAATATATGAGTGCATGGGAATAAAAGTCAACCATGTTCAGAAGTGCATACAATAGCCAGGCATTGTTACGATAGAAAACTCACGCCACTTAGATTTTCTCCACAAGTACCCTGTATCATAATCATCCATGCTTTTTTCTATACGTACAATATGTTAAGTGATCACCAGAACATTTTTAGCTTGGATTACTCAAAATTCTATTTCAAAATAAGGATTATTATTATTTTAAAATATCGCTATTAGATAAAAGGAATTTGAATAGATTAAAATATATTTCAAGGCCATATGTGACTATTCATAAACATATTAACTAACTTTAAATGTGCACCTCACTGAAGGATAATATAAGAATCTAGCTAGAGGTTCACTGCATTTTTAGTGAGTACTTCAATATTTGAAAAGTGTATTTGTAAATTAATGACATTGCAATGAAAGTCAATGGGAAACAACAAAATACAACTTGACTTCAACAAAATATGAAATATCCAGACATAGTAAAAACTTGATTTCATAGTTATGATTGCAATGCTTACATAATTGAAATAATTCATTATTACATATGAAATGTACAGACTTCACAGTCATCATGACGTTAAAAGACAAACCAAACATTTTTAAGGATTTTAAGGGTTGTTTATTAACAGTAAGTCTCAGAGTTTTTCCACTTCTTCTAGACTTAACTGTCTTCCAATCTCTAAATTTTGTTTTATGTTAGTAACTCTATGCTTTGAATAATTTTCACTTTTGAAAAATAACAAAAAATAAAAAGTATCTGTAGGAAGGAGACAGGAGTAGCGTGGATGAGAACTTGTAAAAAGTTTGCTGGGCATGAAATTCAATAGAAAAAGGAACAAGAAATGACACAGAGCACTCTAGGGACCTCAATAATGTAATTCAGACATGTTTTTCTCCTTTTCTTACTCTTTCTTCAGGACTCCTTTTATGCCAGGGCCTGCTTTTTGTTTTATTTACAAAATTATCTGCTTAGGGACCCAACTCTTGCTGTTGGTGATATGAGCCTCTCATTCATCAGTTTACTCATTTAACAATTGCTTATTGAGATTCCACCATGTTCCAGACACTGAGGATAGAAGGTAGAAAAGCAAACATGGTTCAACATGGTTATGGGTTTTGATTCACTTTTCAAGGATTATGTAACAGGAATATCTAAAGTAGTTTGGGGAATTTGTGGCTCCTTAAAACATTGGTTTTATTTTGGTTTTCTCCACACTCTCAAAATCTTATATCTAATCCTGATTATGAAGAAATTCTCAAAAGATGGAATGTAGGGTTCAGGCAAACATGGATAAAGGAATAAAAATGTTAGTCTAAGATGAGCACCAAGATTAATTAAGCAATAAAACAAATTCACTTTTAATATCAATAGTTTTCTTTCCAATTGTATTTCTCTGTGAAATATAATAAATCCAGAAATATAGGGATAAACAAAATTGTACATAACCTGTAAGCCCCATAAAGGTAGACTTCTGTTCACCCAAAAGATATGAGACCTGTGAAAAGAAGGATAAGATGTTAGTTTTAAAAAATGTGATGAAAAATGCATTCATTTAAAAATTTCAATTGAAAAGGGAAATACTTAAATAGTGCCAGCATAAAAAGACAATAAAATATCAAAATTAAAATTAGGAAACTATATACTGTTTCAGTTTTCTTTTAGATAATATTCATTTCTGTTCCAGGAAAAACCCCTTTTAATTTCGTTTTTGGTCTCATGTTAATAATAAAAAAGATAATGGGCCCTTATTTAAAGAGTGATTAAGGGGGCCAGCCCAGTAGCGCAGCAGTTAAATTCATGTGCTCCACTTTGGTGACCCCGGGGTTCACCAGTTCGGATCCTGGGGGCAGACCCACGCACTGCTTATCAAGCCATGCTGTGGCAGGTGTCCCACATATAAAGCAGAGGAAGAAGTGTACGGATGTTAGCTCAGGGCTAATCTTCCTCAGCAAAAAGAGGAGGATTGGTGACAGATGTTAGCTCAGGGTTAATCTTCCTCAGAAACAAACAAACAAACAAAACAGAAAACCAAAAAAAACAATAAAGAGTGATTACAGAAGGATGAGAAAACCTCAACCTTTTTACCAGTCAACTCTCCATTGAAAAGTCTTCTGTAAACTCTAAGACTTTGTTATTTTTAAAGCTGTCAATATTTTGGCAATACAAATTGAACAGTATAAATGATCAGAATAAAATCGGTAACAGATTATAGAGCACATTAATATTTTGGATTTGGATTTTTATAAAATGTTTAACATTCCACCAAAAAAACCCGGTGATTGAGGTTAGCATAGAACATTATGCAGGACAAGGAGCGACTGTCCTTAAATATCTCTTAAAAATCTTGTCATCTCTAATGTTAAAAACTGTTTATACTCTGCAAGAACACCATACGCTTCTAATGTCCTGCTACTTATAATTTTTCACTATTTATACCCTACCCGCCTTATCTACCTCATTTACTGTAAAGTTGATTCAAACAGGGTCATTCACAGCAATATACTCTACTTGGGAAAAGATGAAAACAGTCATATTATGCTGCCAAAAAATGCAAATAAAAAACTCAAAACAGAACAAAGCCTACTCACTCTTTATAGTTATAAATATTAGAGAAGCCCCATTATTAACTGTATTTTAAAATCTTTATGTCATTTTCTTTTGGGGAATATGTTAAAAAATAATGAAGAGCAATAAACTCTTTAAAACTCCTGTTTTAAAAAGATTTACAAAACTTTAAAAGATTAATCAAAGAGACTACCTAGTATATTCAACTGAAGTACTCTAACTCCAGAATGTCACATCTACCTGAGTAAATGACATCTTCAATTGCTCCAAACCGAACCTGCGATCTTTCTCCTAAAAACCGATCCTCTCAGTTTTTCACATCTCAGAAAATGGCACCAAATTCCACTATATGTGTTTACCCAAAAATTTAGATATCATCTTAATACGCTTTCCTCTCTTCTATTTGTAAATACGTAATACGTTAATCACCAAATCTTTTCGATTTTTCCCACCAAATAAGTGAAGAATTTATCTACCTCTCTTCATCTCCACTACCACAACCACCTTAATATAAACTACAATTTTTTGCAACTGGACTCTTGCAAAAGCCTACCGACAGGGACCCAAAACCTCCTTTTGCCTTCTACATTTTTTCTCCAAATTACAGCTACCCTGATTCTTTTTAAATGCATTTTGATCACACTGCCCCACTGTGTATGGGCATTGCACTTTTATTAAGGTAAAGACTAAAACTCTTAAAACGGCATTCTTATCCAACTGTCACATGATCCTTCCATCACAGCCCTTTTCACATATGAGTCTTCCCTCATCTTAGACCTCTCAGCTCAACCCCCTCTCACGGAAACCTTCTCCGAGGCTTCCACTTGATCAATGCAGTCAACTCATTTCAGGCAGTGTTAGTCACCAAACCTCCCCTGCCACTCACCTCGGTTGTAACTTTATATTTATTTATAAATGTATATCTTTTTAGATGTCTCCTCACTAAACTGTGTGCTCCATAAGAGGAAAGAGTATGTCTATTTTATTGACCGTTGTAAAAATAATGTTGTTCTGAGTACATGCAGATAGTAGGCTAGGCATTCAATAGAAACAAATGGATGGGGCCAGTAAAATCAAAACTATGGCTGATGAGATCAGTCACATCGTCCTTTCCAAAACACATCTCTTATATTCTCAGTGACATTTGAGAAATCAGACCAAAATGAGGTATGTATGAGTAAAGAGATACATTGTTTTTGTAGATAGGACATAGATACATAGTTTTTGTAGATAGGAAAATGATATGCTACAAAAACTGCTAAGTAGTTAAGTAGGCAGCAATATACAGAAAATTAAAAAATAAATTGCTAAACAGACATCTGTGAGCATTTTCATAAGGAAATTGGTAATTAACATGGATTTACTAAAAGCTAGTACACCAAACCAACAGCATTTTCTTTGGTCAGGGATGTTTTCATAGGTCTTGAAATATCAGAGTATTTAAATTTAAATATGACTTTAAAGAAAGGATTTTTTTGGACATGACTATGTCGTGTGGAATAGGTTTCATAATCTGTAAAAAGTATTTCTACAAATCTCTCACATATAAATTTCAATGCAAAGCGAGATCTCCACTGGAAAGTTGTCTCTTTTGCCCGTTTACTAAGCACTAAAGTGGATAAATACATAGAAGGAAAATGTACAAACTCTAGTGAAAAGCTAATGTCCAACCTCTCCTTCATAAAATGGATTTATCATGAAAAAAGAATATGAGATCTGATCTACACATTTCTAGAAAATGTCCAAAACAAATGAGGAATGAAACTGGAACTGACAGCCAGACCATAATTCTAAATGAAACTTCAATCCCATTGACAAAAAAACACTAGGAAGAAAAAACCCCGGACACGAATATTTATTGCCATGTCAGTTATAGCAGGAGAGTAATTGGAATCTACCTGAATATCCAAGAAGAAGAGAAACAAAGTAGCCTTATGATCATTAACAACAGCAAAAATGCCATAAATGAGAAAAAGATCATTGATATAAATGATGTATATACTATTGTCCTAACTATATCAGTATAAGTGTGTTATATGTCAGTGTGCATATGTAGAGAATTTACAAAAGATTGGTAGTCAAAATACTAAAAGCGCTTATTTATACGTGTCGGGATTTTAGGTACTTTTTACTTCCTTTGCTCTTGCCATATTTATTTATATTGCATTAATTATGAATCATTGATCAAATAATAAAAAATAAATTTCACTTTTTTAAATTTAAAAAAATTAAAAAACAAGAGAAAACATAAAAGCAAAATTGATACCATTCTGAAATATTTATATTATTAAAATTAATAAAATAAAATTATAAAATGCATACTGTTCTGAATTAAACTAGGCCTATAGATAAAATTCGTGCTTGAAGCATCATTGTGAGAACCGGAAGAGTCATGTCAAACAATGGAAATAGTGGCAGAAGTTAAATAGAGGACGTCCGTGATGTGTAGCCTCAGTCACTTTTCACAGCTTACTTATGGCTCCTGGTAAAGGCGAGAAGAGAGCTGCTGTTGATGTCAGATCAACTTCGGCAGCTGAGGGGGACCTCAGGGGGTGAATACATTAACCAGAAGAATAGAGCAGTTGGTAAACACATGAAAGTAATAGGGTCAACATGTGGGGCATAATTCATAGGAAGGACCTGTGGGTCACAAACTCAAGATGAACTCAGACTGATAGCTCCCCAAAGAAAAAACATGAATGTAAGGTTGTATTTCATTAATGAAAGTATAGTATCCTAAACCAGGGAGGACCATTATAAAACTCTCCTAACCATAACAAATACCAAGAACTGAGCTGTAAGTATGGCACTAGTACCACGTTTCAAAGACATACCAAATTTAATATGTGTCCAAAACCAATTTAGTTTTCAGTCCAAAACTGACACCGAAGCATAGTAGAACCTTGACAATACGTTAGGGAGACTTTTCAATAACGGAAGTTTTCCAAAGCACTGCATGGACTTCATACCAGGTTAGACAACCACCTGTCAGTGTGTTGTGGAAAGGACTAAACACTGACTCTTTGAGAGAACGGACATTAACAGACATGTCTTTCCAACAGACACACACTGGCTAAGATAGAAGTGGCTTTCTATCTATGAACGTGCCTTCTTCCCCTTCCGTAGTGTAAAGGTGAGGGCAAAAAGCCACTCTTCAGCCAAAGGCTACACTTCTCAGCCTTTGTGTCAGGGTGTGATGATCTGACTGACCCTCACATGAGTTCTAAGTATGAAATACGAGTACATGATGCTTGTCATATGTTGGCCAAGAATTTTAAACAGTGTATGTGCCTTCTCTAGGCTCTCCTTGCCTTTCTGGAAGCTCATTGCAAAGGGTTCTTAGGTCTTAGGACAGCACATAGTCACAAAATGAAAGTGGCTTATATGTATAATATTGTACTTAAAATATTGTCTGTATATATTGTATTCTATAATATGTGTGTGTGTGTGTCTGTGAACCACTCTATGGAGAAAAGGTCTACACTGACTAGGAACACCAACATTAGACTCCAGGAACCAAAAAGATTCTTTAGAATTTTTGAGATTATGTGTTAGAGTACTTGATGCTGCTTTAATCTTACTGTAACCAATACATGTGAGAGAAAAGGTCTATATTATGCTATTCATTCCTATTGGTCATGAAATACTTAAAAGATATTGTCAAAATTTTATTTCTTCTTATAAAGAAGAAATAATCTTTAAAATCTGAATGTCACCTGAACACACCTTAAAGAAGAAATAATCTTTAAAATCTGAATGTCACCTGAACACACTCCTTGCTATATTAGGCACTGATTTTAAATGCAAATCCAAATTCCATGAAATATAAGCACATTCATGTGCTTCTTACCTTTGTCTCTATCACTTGATGTTAAAAACTAATAATTACTTCAACAGCTTCTAGAGTGGAAAGGATGCCTGAGTTTTGACACACAGTGCAGAACTCTAAGCACCAGTAGGCAATGAGTCAATGCTGATGGCCCATCTCTCAATGAAAGTCACAAACTACGTGCTGGAGGTGTTTCCTGTGCTGATGCCTTTAAATCATTTACTGTAAAGTGTGTGTACATCAGAGTTTGTCGTGTGCACAGTTTCATACATTAACAGTAAAATTCTTTGCATATCCTTTAGCTTGTCCATACTTGCAACATTTTCCAATCAGTGTTAACTCCTGGAAGGGACTTAAAATAAAGCAAAGCCACACAAAATATCTGCAGCTTTATTATGCCAGGAGCTCTAATTAAATAAATCTCTTTGCTGAATTAGCCCTCATTATTTTACAAGATACCCTGTGCCCATAAAGGCCACTTCTGGTTTTCATTAAACAATACCGCATTGACAATGGGAACTAAACAGAACATTGTATTCAAAATGGAGCCATGAGCTATTTTGTTATGTTTTTTAATTGCAGTAATCTGATTTTTCAAATGTATAGCCTCCATAATTATGGCTGAATATTCTTAGTAATACGGCATAGAAGTTAATTGTAGGAAACTTTGTCCATCTTAACGTTTTCAAATAATATAATTCCACTCTGCTGTCACCAGGCAATGCCCTTTTACCCTAGAAGGATTCCTTCATGCTTCATTTTCTGATTTTCAAGCCTCTCTAATGTACACTTTAATTATAAATTACCAAGTTTTAAAAACAATTCTGGAATGTTTTTAGAAGGATTTTTAATGTGAACCATTTTTAATAACACATAGAGAAATATAATATACACTGACATCTCTAGGCAGTGGTCTTGAATCATCTAGATTGCGTAAAATTATTAATAAAACTGTTGAGTATAATTCCATCAATTCAGCAACATTCACTGACCCACAAAGTCCTACGCCAAGTATGGGAGCAACAGAGACAAATACAATATGGTCCTTGCCCTCAGTGAGCATATAGAGAGAACAGAGAAGTACATAATAAAACCAATGGCAATATGCTAAGTTCAGAAGTATTCAAGGCATGATCAGAAAGTCCCCAAAAGTCACTCCTAATCCAGAGTGGAATTGGGCAATAGGTCATGATGTCAGGTAAGAATTTCAGATTAAGTTTCATCCAAGAAATTGTTATCCTGAAGGACTAGGAGTCCTGGAGCAGGTTAGAAAAGAGTGGGTAGTGGGGGCCAGGACTGGAAACAGGGGTCCAGGGAGAGGGAGCAAAACGGTCATTGGCCTGGAGACGATGGAGAGCAGAGTTTGTAAGTTGCTTCCAGTAGGTCAGCATGGCTGGAGTAGCAGATCGGTGAGGTGAGGTAAGCAAGATCAGATTATAAAAGATCCTCATTTACTCATTTAGTCACTCACTCACTTAAAAAATAACTACTGAGCACCGAATTTGTGTCAGGCTCTGAGGATACAAACAATGCCCTCATGGAATATCCATTGCAATCCATACGAAATACACAGAAAACAAACAAGTAAAAGATGTACAATATATAAAAGAGAGAAAGGCAATGGAGAAAAATGAAAAGGAAGAAGAAAAAAATTATTCAAGGGAGTCTTGTGAGGAGATTACAATTTGAACAGGATGTTTAGGTAAGGCTTCACTGAAAATATGATTTTGAGTAAAGATCTGAGGAAGTGTCCCTATGCTTTTTAGTGGCAGAGAATTACAGACAGAAGGACCAGCGGGTGTGAACGCCCTGAGCCTGCAGTGTGTCTGGAATGATCTAGGAATAGAGAAGAGGCCAATGTGGCAGGAGCAAAATGGTGGGGGATGAGTAGTAGGAGGTGACATTACAGGGAAAATATGTGTTCTTACAGGCCATGGCAGGCACTTTGGCATTCAGAGCACAGCCATGTCAAGATCCAACTTATATTCTCAAGAAATACTGGCTGCTACAGTAAGAATAGATCAAAGGGGAGCAAAGGTACAACTAGGAGGACTAATTAGGAGGCCTTTGCAGTAATACAGGTGAAAGAAGGTGGCTTGTGCCAGGGTGGTGGCATTGAGAAGCATCTACACACTGGATATTTCTTGAAGGTAGAAATAACAGGATTTTCTTAGGGCTTTGCATATGCTGCAGAGTGTGAGACAAGAGAGAAGTCAAGAATGACTCCAAAGCATTTGGCCTGAGAAACTGTTAGGATGGAGTTCCTATCAGCTGAAACGTGGAAGGCTAGGAGTGGAGCAGGGTTTGGAGGAAGGATGGAGCTGTCACTCATTGAGATGTGGGAGATCACAGAAGCAGCCCATGGGAACATGGCAAGTTTGAAATGCCTATTAGACATCCAAGTAGAGAAGCTGAACACACAGTAAGAATTTGGGGCAATGGAAAAGTGCTGGCTTCCTGTGGTCAATGAGGTAGGGATAAAAGACACAAAAAGATTAGTGCTGAGGGAGTCAAAGAAGAGGGCAAATATGAGAAAACTTCAGCTTCTTTATATGGAAAGTAGGTACAACAAGATTAAATATATATTGAAGGAAATCATATACATAAAACCCAATGCCAGAAAATAGCAAGAACTCCAAAATATACCACCTTTCCACAAGCTGAAAATTCCCTGAGAGTAGTTAAATATTCCTTTTCATGGCTATATCTTCAGTTACAGCGATATGAATACATGGTAAATAGTCAATAAACATATAGTGAAATATCCATAATTATATTTCATTAAATAAATTATAAAGAATTATCTCATAAATTATTACACAATAAAATTTAGCTTGTTAATCTTTAACTTATTTCTGAACTGTTTAATAAATATGTAATCATTTTCACTATCTAAATAAGCTGAAGAAGAACCAATTCATTTAAAAGCATACTATGCCCTCATTTTCCATTTTACCATAATCTTTTTTTATTTTTTATTTTCTTAGGGCAAACTCTACATGAAAAAATAATTGTATAGAAGTTAGCCATCAAATTTGTTTTCTGCTTTGAAAATTATTTTAAATTTAGTAGACTGGACAGGGACCCAAGGTGGTGGTGAGATAAAGATTATCCATGCCATTATACACCCAGGCCCCTTCCTGATTGCTTCTCGCAAAAGATGATGCCTAAAAAGGAAAGTCCAGGGGCCGGCCCGGTGGCGCAGCGGTTAAGTTCGCACGTTCCGCTTCTCGGCGGCCCGGGGTTCGCTGGTTCGGATCCCGGGTGCGGACATGGCACTGCTTGGCAGCCATGCTGTGGTAGGCGTCCCACGTATAAACTAGAGGAAGATGGGCACGGATGTTAGCTCAGAGCCAGGCTTCCTCAGCAAAAAGAGGAGGACTGGCAGTAGTTAGCTGAGGGCTAATCTTCCTCCAAAAACAAAAAAGAAGGAAAGTCCACAAAAGAATATAAATGCAATTTAATAAAAGTAATATGATAATGAATGGAAAAAGAAGTTAAAATAAATCAATGTCATTTAACTCAAATAAGATAAAGAACCATACAAGCAAAATCTGAGACTTGAGATAGTCATGCATTCCAATAAATGCTGGAGTGTTTCTCAGAGTAACAACTAGATTCGTTGTTTTGTTTTTTTAGATTCCACACATAAGTGAGATCATATGCTATTTCTCTTTTTTATGTCTGACATTTCACTCAGCATAATGTCCTCAAGAAACCTTAAAAAAAAGTAACAACTAGACTATAACTGAAAACGTTTATAAAGCTGGTATAATAATATTATTATTAACAGTGATAACAATAATTAATACTATCGCTAATATTAACAGTAGAGTGAACTTTTGGGAGTATTTGTAAGCCAAGAAAAGAAAAGTATTTGGGCCTTTAAAGAGATTGACCCATATTAAGCAATTACTTAGGTACTTTGATTAGCAATAAAAATTTTATGGGTAAGTGTCCAGTATTATCATTATACTAGTAATAAACAATAGATAACAATAAAATAAGAGATGTTTAAAAAGAACTTACAAGGATTATATTCACACATTAACTGAAAGCTGGATCAATTTAATTGTGACAAACACCTGAAACGTCCTTGAGAAAAATGCATTCTATATAACATCCTTTAAAACTATAATAGAATTCAAAGAAATCAAAAGAATATTGTTGAAGGTCAGACAAAGATACCTTACCATTCATTTCCTTGTGAAGGGTTTTCGAGAAGCACTCGGATTATGTATAATAAACAGCTTAATAATTTTAGAGAAAAATTGAACAGACGTATTCTTAGACCTTTAAACAAACAACAAAAATTTGATTTTCATTTGAACTTAGTTCTCAAAAGACTAGAAAGAATTGTCAAAAATATCAACTTTAAACTTTAAGTTCACCACTTACATTGTATTTACAAACTACAACACCATAATCACCTAAACTCTCTGCAGTTCTAGGTACCTGAATTTTAATTAGTTGAATATTGAAACAAAAAGGACAGAATGGGTGAACTGTCAATGACGGTGAATATTATACGCTGAGAGGAAATCTAAGTTTCAGCATTCAGAAACCACAAAAATCATGTCCAATCAAGATTACTTCCAATGCACTAAGAAGTAAGCATTTTATTTATCTATCAATTTGGGGACAGATTTTAGCTAGCTAGAAAATCTAGCTGGTTACAAATTCATGGAATAAGTTATAAATCTCGTATCTTCAGAACGCCTTGTAGATTTGATTATAGAGAAATGATAATCATGTATATAATTATATATGACGCATTTAATTAGTAATCATGTAATTATAGATAAATCAGAACAGCATATGCTGAGAAATACAGACGCACACACACAATTTTTAGTTTGAGTTAAACCTAACTTTTCACTTTACGTTAAATACCAATGAAATCTTAAAATTTTTGTGGGAATTAAGACTGCTATGTATGTTTCTTTGAAATTGTATAGGTCACAGTTATGAAGCCTGTAATACTTGATTAAAAAGAAGAGCAATTAGGGCCCAGCCCAGTGGCATAGTGGTTAATTTCGCGGGCTCCGCTTCGGTGGCCCAGGGTCCGCCGGTTCGGATCCTGGGTGCGGACACACACAACGCTCATCAAGCCATACTGTGGCGGCATCGCACATAGAAGGACTAGAAGGAATTACAATTAGAATATACAACTATGTGCTGGGGCTTTGGGAATCAAAACACAAGAGGAAGATTGGCAACAGATGTTAGCTTAAGGCCAATCTTCCAAAATAAATAAATAAATAAAATAATGAAGAGCAATTAACATTAAGCAAAACATGCTTAAAATCTGATGAATAGAAGCTTTACCTTCCCAGCAATTATCCGGTGATATCTGATTCACACATCACAAAATTTTGAGAAAGGCCTTCCTACAATTATTACTTAACAAAATCTTGAAAATAATTATTACTTAATAAAATCTGGAAATGAAATGTCTTTTTTTTTTACTCTGCTATATGTGGGTGTATTTGAGGCAACATTTCTTAAGAGTTAAAGGTTAATGCTGATTAATCATGTCATTTTTCCTAGGTTTTCTTATTAAAATCTTAGGTACATTTTATGGGTTAGGCTCTTGAGAAAGTCTTTTAAACTGTTAATGAAATTGCCCTGGTTTTATAGAACTGGTCTCCCCCAATGACAGCTTAGTTAAGGCTGGCTGCTGGAGAAGTGTTCAAATAAGGCATGTATATTTTCTGGCCTGGAGAGATAGGATTGTTAGCATTAAAATCAAGAAAACCTTCTATTCAGATGATGTGGCTCCTTTAGGTCATATCGATCAGTGGTGCTTCCTTGCAAATTCTAAACAACCGGATTAGAGAAGCATTAATTATTATTAGCCTCAACCCTGAAGCTAACCTGACATGCAGAGTCCCTAGCCGGTGTGCCTTACATATTGAAATATCCTCTACAGTCAATATTTGGGTAACTTCTCACAACTCAAGCTTTTCTCTTTGAACCCTATAGAGGCACAACTTAATTTAGATCACCCCAAGAGGATTCAGGGGTCAAAATTCGGAAACACCAAAGTCTACACCAACCTAATATAGACCTCTCCATTGCTTGTTGACATTTTAAGCAATAATCATATGACAAACTACATATTGGCTCATTACATATAGCTTTTAAAAATACTTGGGGGGCCAGCTTGGTGGTGTAGTGGTTAAGTTCATGTGCTCTGCTTCAGTGGCCTGGGGTTCGTGGGTTCGGATCCCAGGTGCAGACTAACACACCACTGATCAAGTCATGTTGTGGTGGCATCCTACATACAAAATAGAGGAAGATTGGCCCAGACATTAGCTCAGGGACAATCTTCTTCAAGCACAAAAGAGGAACATTAGCAACAGATGTTACCTTAGGGCCAATCTTCCTTACACACACAAAAAAATACTTGGTATTATGGGGAAGTAACACGTATCATTGAAATGTCAACCTTGAATAAGCTTAGGAGGTCAATGACTATGCCAAATTCATTTCCTCTTGAAGTTCCACTGTTTCCCAACTTGTTCTGATGATAAGAATCATGAGGACGTTAAACTTTGAGCTTAGCCCTACACTTCCTGATTCAAAATCTCCAGAGAAGGATGCTAGGAAGCTGTACATTTCACAACCCCCTAGATGTTTCTCATTATTAGGCATGATTGGGAAACTCTGAACGCTTCTCCACTAAATCAGACAATTATTCCCCATTAGGGTCAGTCAGAATCACCAGAGCCTTCGCAAAGTACATTTTATGTGTCCCACATAGTTAAAATGGGGGAAACTCTTTGTTTAAATTATTTTCCTCAATGTTTCTACTAATCCAGATGGTCCACTCAGAAGTCTACTTATTGGCATGGGATATGAAGAATTAAAGGTATTCAGGAAACCTTAGCACCACCAGATGTAACATCTATAATTTTCTAAAATTTTACTGCCTGGAAGACAAGATTATTAGTTCTATTCCTCAGTATAAAAGATATTTTGCAAAACGATTGCAGAGTTGGAATCTTTTGCGGTAAATAGATGTACAAACACATAGACAGGAGAATAAAATGAATGACTTACTTGATCTCTGGTTTTTAATAAAAAATAACTTTAGTCTCTCTTTAAATGTGTTTTCGTTCATATAAAATTCAACTTGTACCCTGCAAAACAGAAAATAAAAACATAATTAATCTAAAGACTGATATATGAGAAAATAAAAAGTTATTTGATTGAATGCATTATACACTTTGAGTGAATTCCCACCACAGAAAATAAGAATTGAGTAAAATACTGCACTGTTTAGAGAGAAACAGTTAGATATAGTCAGTTTAAATATCATATGTAGTTCATTCAATGATCTGTATTAGTGGATGTAGACTGGTATGGATGATTCAAAACAACGATCGTGCAGAAGTCTTTAACATGTCTTTGGAATAAGTTTGAATCAGCGTTTTCCCAATTTTTGCCCATACGATAAGAGTCTGGTGAATGCTTGAGAAATTCAGTTTGAGCAGCATCGCCTCGGATCCACCACATCAGAATCTTAAGGGACTGAGCCTGAAAATCTACTTTTAACAAGTCCTTTGCTCCACCTTGACTCTCTTTGGGACATATTATGGGACACTTTACCTTCTTATTTATTTATTTAGGCTCAAATGAAAATATATATATGGATCAGCAAAGGAGTGGTAATGGCCAGTAGAATATTAAAGTTAACACAGGTAGGTTGTAAACCAGACAAATCACTTAAAAAACTGAATATTGTATATTTAGTCCACTATAAAATAAGATCAACAGTCTGAAAAACAGTAGCATACTAATAAATCCATTTGGTTTCTCCCTAAATTCTGGCAAAGTCTCTCATGTGATAGGGCTTAATTAATATTTCAAAATACTAAGTGAAAAGAAAAATTGTGTTCAGTGAATGGTGACTTGTTAATAATTATCATTTGAAATTTTCTTAATTAAATAGTCTCAAAAATATGCATTATAAGTTAGGATTCCCAAAACAGCTAAGAAAGCATTTTAATGTTTATACAAACAACAGATTTAATTTAATTTTTCCTAACATCACAAAATTTTGATAATGTAATTCATATAAACTAGATAGTTGTTTTTCGTTTTCTTTCTGCAGGAGTACACATGGGAGATAAAAATGGACATATGAAGATGCTTATGTACTACAGAAATATTTCACTACTATATTCTACGCTGTATATATATTCAAGAAGATTCATGAATATTTTAAAGCCGTGTCTTGTGTCATAAAAGTAAAAGGGCTTTTGTTATCAATTGCAAACCAAGTTTTATCTTTTATATCTTCTAAAAGGCTTGAAAGCTCTCTAACTTTATCTCTTACCCCTAAAGAAAATATTTCCATTCATAAACATTTTTTCTTTTCTTTTCATCATATACTTATTTTCTTTCCGCATTTTTTTCACCTTATATGTAAGGTGAAATGAAGGGACAGAAATCAAGATTCTCTTTACTTGCTAACTTCTCCAGAGAGAAGCCATGAAAATCGCAATGACGTCTTCCAGCAGAACACTTCCATATGCATGCCTACGTGCATGCACACACCTCACACACATACACAAACTCACACATGCTACAAAAGTACATCCAGACACAGAATTCCACTAGTGTCTCGGAAATCTATCCTTGGATCTGTTTCCCTTGTTTATCAAATGAAAAGGCAGTTCATTTTAAATAAAGTAACTGTAATACTGATAATCAAGCTAAATTAGTTCAAATTTGCTATGGATACAAAAGCAAATTTGAGAGGACATATGGCTATTACACAAGTAATTCAGCAAAGGCCACGTAGATCTGCTTCCTAGAATTATCAAATTTATAAGAATACTAGTCCATTCTTCAGATAATAGCCTGAATTCAGTGCTGAGTATATAACAGAAGTATATTTTTTAACTAAAATCGATCATCTAAAGCCTAATACAAATAATGAGGGATCTGGGAAGTCTCTCATATGAGGACAGCTTTAAGGAACTGGAAATGTTTAGCCTAAATATGAAGAGTTAGCAATAACCGAATGGCTGTCTTTAAACACTTATGTGGCCATTATGATTAAAATGAGGTGGCTCATAATGTGATGCTCTATAGTACAGAACTAATCATAGAGAAATATGAGAATTATGAATGAGATTACCCAATTTTGAAATGGCCATCATTGTGAAGCGGAAAGCTCTCCAATACATATAAATGTGCCAAAAACTGGATAACAGCTTGCAAGCAACTGGGTTTTTTTCCTCATAGTAAAGACAATTTTGCAAGGAGTGGGGTCTCTCATTAAATGAATCCCACATTCTCTTCTAATTATAATATTACATGAAGTAAAACTCTTCATTAATCCAGAGATCTTTCTGATTCAATATTCTCACTGAGGATCATGGATGATATCAAAATACGAATTTATACAAATGCTTTTTAAAGTTAGAGCTAAAAAAGCAAACAAACAAAAAACAAGCACACCACTTTTTGATCCATGTCTTCTCTCAGGTACAGAAAAATCTCCTTTAGGCTTTCTGTTTATAATATAAAGTGGAGCTTTCTTTTATTCAATCTAATGACAACTCTAATTTATTAAGTAATTGTACTTAATAAAAAATAAAGTGGAACTGCAATCATTACTAGATGGTATCTGCTCCAATAGACATCTTTTCACTGTTTAATGACGTTATTTTTATATTGGTCAAAAATGTTTTATTGTTTTACTTGAGTAGGTCCTACATATTCTTTGTGACATTTATTTCTTAGTATTTTATAATTTTGGTTGCTATTTTAAAAGTGCCTTGTTCTGACCTTTAACTTTTTGGTATTGTAAATGGTTACCATATTGAATTCATTTATATGTAGTGGTATTTTTTTCAGGTTTTTTTCTTGGGTTTTCTAGGATGACAATCATGTCCCCTGGAAACTGTCCCTAATATTTCTATTTACATTTCATTGTTCTTGTCTTATGATGTTGACTAGCACTTTTAAAAGGAAAATATCAACTGTGGTGTGCATTCTTAGAAGAGAATGCCTCTGTGCCTTAGCAGTAATTTTATTGTTGATTCTGGAATTGCAATAAGTATTTATATTTTACTAAAAACTTATAGTTACTAAAAATTACATCAGAGTGGATGGATGTTGATTGTTACCAACCACTTATCTTGAATCTATCAAGCTGATGGTACATTGTTGGGTGTTTTTGGACACTATTTAGTTAACTATTTTAACAGTTTTTTATTATGCAATTATTTTTTCAATTCTGGAAAAAATTGTTTTTGTAACAATAAACTATTTAGGTAATTCACTCCTGGATTCACTTTCCTATATTTTTAGGAGTTTTTCTTCTAAATTTATAACTAAGATTGACGGGCTATCATCTTTAGATTATTCTAATATCTTCTAATACGAATTGAAAAGCTCTCCAAGTTTTTCTATACTCTGGAAACATTTTGAATACTGTAGAGAAGTTTTTGGATAACCATTATCAATTTTCTCTAACAGTATCATCTGCTTCAACACTGATTTTAATGTGTGTTTTGTTTTTTTTTTCATTTTCCCCTCATTCTGTTGCTCCGGTTACTTGAACTTAGGGTAAAAATCGTGCAGGATCTTGTTAAAATGCAACTTCCTTTATTCACTCTTAAAATTCTTATTCAGTAACTTTAAGGTAAGCCTTATCATTTTAACAACACAAAAAATAATTCTGACCCAAGTTGTCAACAGTCCTTTCAAAAGCACTATTTTGCTTTTTTCAATAATGCCCTAGACTCTGTTTAGAATGCCAAACTTTTGCAGAAATTCTCCTTTAGAACTTGTAGTAGATATAGATCATTATCCAAGGAAAATTCTTCCTCTGTGTCTTCTTGGTGCTATTCTCTTCCTGCCTCCCTCTGATTTCACAATATTGGTCATGGTGTCGATGTCTGAGTTTTTATTACTATTCTCACCTCAAACAGGGCAGTATCTGCCCAGACATTCTGGTCTAAGCAGGCAAGTTCAGTGGATGCATGTCGGTTCTGCTCTCTTGCTATTTATTGCTTGGTGATTTTCCTTTGGAGAATTTACATCTGGATGGCAAGTTAACATACACAGCTCCCAGTGCAATTCCCATTTCTAAGAACTTTTCACCTGGCCTCATTTCTGTGCTTTTGTATTGTGGCATCCTCCTAAAGCCATGCTTGGTGCTCTGACTCCAGTGACTAAGGAGAAAGATTCAAGTCTCTCGATATACTTCTGCCAAGCTTCTCTTACTGTACTCTCACCCCTACCAAACTCTCAGTTGCATTTACACTTACCAGAATTACCCCTTTCAAAATGTACTACATTACTGTGTATACCCCTATTTTCTCTAAAGTCATTCTTATGTGTTGAATTATATCCTTCCAAAAGATACGTTGAAATTCTAACTCCCAGGATTTCAGAATGTGACCTTCTTTGAGATTGGGGTCATTACAGACATAACTAAATTAAGACGAGGTCATATTGGAGTAGGATGGGTCCTTAATCCTATATGACTGGTGTCTTTATACGAAGAGGGAAATTTGGACACACATAGAGGGAAGATGGCCATGTCAACACAGAGGCAGAGATAGGAGTTATCCTGCCACAAGCCAAGGAACACCTACCAGAAGCTGAAAAGACAAGGAAGGATTATCCCCCAGATGCTTAGAAGAGAGCATGGCACTACCAACAACTTGACTTCAAACTGCTATACGCCAGAGCTGTGAATCAATAAATTTCTGCTGTTTTCAAGCATTAGTTTATGATACTTTGTTATGGCAATCCTAGGAAACCAATACAATTGTTTTCTAAGACAGTGACAGCAGCACTTCTAGGTCACGTGAAGGAAGTCCATTAGAATGTAGGCTCCATGAGAGGGAGGAGCACATTGAATTCTGTTCACACTTATATCTTTAGCGTTTCACATATGGCTTGGGACCTATTAGGTGTTAAGTATTATTGGCTGAATGCCTAAATGAAGGAGTAGTGGGATCCCCAGTTCTTTCTTTAGTAGAAACATTAAGGACTCTGAGTCAACAGTACGGTGGATGAGAAAAAGCATCTTCCTTAGGTTATAACTATTTGAGGATGCAAAACTTGGGTTTGTGGTGAGCTGAATCCTTGGAAGCTCTTTCTTATTCCAAATTGT